CCAGGGCGTCTGTCACAGCCCCGTGGTGACAGCAGTTCTATGGCCACCCCTGCCCACTGTGACGTGGCCGCTGCCGGCAGCAGGCGCTGAGCTGGGGCCCAGCCACAGCCATCAGGGAAACAGGGCACTGCTCTTGGTGCACGGGCTGGAGCGATGGTGGCACCGGGGAGTCCAACTCCATCATGGTCACTGCTGGGGCACACGAGCTCCTCCGAGCTTAGGGAGGGGGGCCCCAGGGGAAGCTGGGTCACTGCATTGAGAGGGAGATGGAGTTAACCCAGACTCAGGGCTCCGCTGAGGATAGGGCACAACAGGGGCTGAAAACTGGTGCTTCTCCATCAGTTCCATGTAACAGGGCCAGAGCTGGGCTGAGCTGCTGGCAGTCCCCCAAACAGTGGGAAACTCTCCTTGAAATCACTTCGGCGTTGCTCTGGGGTGGAGCAGGCTGCTCAGGGCGACTCAGGATACCCAAGGATTTCTAAGCACAGAAATGGGGGACTGGTGTGGTGCAGCATGGAGGTTGGAACTAGACGATCCTTCCCATCTCTTCCAACCCAAACTGCTCTGCAGTTACACTGCTTCTCCCCGTGTCTCATTTCACAGCTATTGCAAGTGACTGTATTAGCTTGAGCTCATCTCAGTCTCCCCTCTGGCAAGTTAAATCCATTCCTCTTGGCCTGTCCCTATAGGCCCTTGTCCAAAGCCCCTCTCCAGGTTTCCTGGAGCCCCTTTAGGTTTTGTCACAAACCTCTATCTTTTGATTTATTCTGCTTCAGTGCTATGAGAAAAGCCTTCTTCTCCTTCTGGAAAGCTGCAGCGGGTATACAGGAATCCTTTTCACCATCCCCTTCACATAAATTTACCACAATAGTGGCCACAAGTTGCGCATTAAGATAGAGCCCACAGAGGAGCCTCAAGGTTTTGTCACCTTTCGGTACCAGTAAAGACCAAAAGGAAACCTCCCAGCCTCGCAAGACACCCAAAACTCCACCCGGCAGCAATCTCTTAGCTTAAAACTGAGCTTCTGGCTCCACCTGATGGAAAAGAGGAATAAGGAACAAGAAGCAGCACCAGCCAGAAGAAATAAAAGCTGAAGCGCACAACTACAGCCTGCTTTTTTCTGCTTCACTGATCCACAGACATTGCTGGTGAAACACAAAACAGAGATTGCTTTATCATGGAAACGTCTAACAAACAGGGTCAAGATGTGCGGCTCTTTACCAGGTCATGACCAACAGGCATTTGGAGACTATTAATTATCTATTTTGGTCATTTTTAATGTTAGGAAATACTGTTTGTTGACATCAGTTCGTGGGTTTACAGCTGAAAAGCAGCCCAGATAAAGAACAATGTCCTAAGCATGGTTCCCATGCAGGAAAGGGAAAACCTGCACTGTATGTTTTCCTGTCTCACTGTTCACTAAGCTGCTCTCAGCATGCAACATGGTGCCTTTAAATCTTGGCTTACATTTAGCCATAAATAGCATGATTCATGTTTAATGCCAGTATATATATTCCCTGCTTTCATGCCAGAAACCACACACACTTCTCCTGCTGAAGTGCACAGGTGCCCAGCACAATTGGGCATTATTCCTGCAAACAAAGCCTCCAGTGAAGCCAAGGGCTGCCCTGGGTGCCCCGGGAATGCTGGTTTGGCTCTGGGGTACTTACATTACCTCCCCGTGTTTGCACAGCACTGAACGCAGAGTCACTGTTCATTTGGGAAAGCATTTCATGTGCCTGATGCAAAGAAACATCAGAAGCTACTTCACTGGAATACGTGCAGGCAATGTGATGGAGTATGCCTTTACAGCCAAATGCTTAAGGGAATGTGTTGTAGATACATATGTATCCCTTTACAACATTTATTGTTCTTCTTAAAGAAACCTAAACCCTCTGGGTAGGCAATACAGCTCTCTGTCAAGTACCACTTTAAAAATAAATTTCAATTAAATTTAGAAATAAATTTCTAAGAAAAGTAATTGAAAAACACCAGGAAGGTACAGAAGGGGCATTCTCTGAGCTTGCTTTTCTCACTTCTTAGCCTCCTATGAAGTTAGGATGCAAAGAAAGACCCCCTCATATTTTTATGAAACACTACAACCTGGAGAGTGCCTTTGGACAAGGGCCTGTAGGGACAGGCCAAGGGGAATGGCTTGAACCTGCCCGAGGGGAGACTGAGCTGAGCTCTTAGGCAGAAGCTCTTCCCTGTGAGGGTGCTGAGGCACTGGCACAGGGTGCCCAGAGAAGCTGTGGCTGCCCCATCCCTGGCAGTGTTCAAGGCCAGGTTGGACACAGGGGCTTGGAGCAAGCTGCTCCAGTGGAAGGGGTCCCTGCCCGTGGCAGGGGTTGGAGCTGGATGAGCTTTAAGGTCCCTTCCAACCCAAACCAGTCTGGAGTCCTATGAGATGTCTCACATATTTTTGCACATTCCAGTGTATAAACTACACTAATTTGTGAATTATTTGCAGTTCAGCCTCCTACAAATTCAGCTTTGCTCAGCATCAGCATTTGGCTGAGCTATAGACACTTGAGCAATAAGTGGAACAAGTACAAACCCGACAGCACTGGATTTCTAGCATGAAGCGGGTCATGGCCCTTTGGTTGTCTACAGTCTTTTGGTAATAAAAGCCCTGAAGACAATTTCTAGGGATAATTAAGATCCCAGACAACAAGAGACTGATTTACAAGCAGTAAGTTATACAAGCAGCTATATTTGAGAGGTTTAAGCAGTGTCACATTCAGCCAAGTCCCAGTTTATGTTTGGTAGAAAACTGACAAACACTTTCCATGATGAAGCAAATTCATCTCTGCTCCCTCTTTTTCTCCCAACAGACACACATATCAATGCAGATAGCTTGTAAGTTTGCACACTAAAAGAGAGGGAGCTTTGACATTTACTTTGGCTATTCCAGCTCTTCCTTCACTCACACAGACAACTGTCAAGATGTTTTCTATTGTTGTTGAAGCAGAAATTAACTGGTGACAGGCTCGATATCTGGGACGAGAAGTTCTGGGTTCCTATCTTCACTCCTGAAATAATGCATATAATTCTGTATTTGTTCTGGCATTGAACTGTAATTAAAGCAAACATCAGATGCTCTTTGTCTGCTTTAGTGCCTAGGCCACAGCCATACACCCTTGTCCTTGCTTTGGCCACCTGAAACATGTAATTAGGGTCTGAATATGCCTACAAGCTCTGGGGACTGTCATCCTTCATCCTGTTCCTGAATTTCTGAGCTGCTTAGGCAGGTAACATGCACCTGCCTCCCTCACACAGGTAGCTGTGGCTATGGGAACAACACAGGGTTGAAAGCAAGGCAGAGAGAACCTTCAGGATAAAACAGAGAACTCCTCAATTACCCTGTCATTAAATAAGGGCAATTTAGGATGACAGTTTTTCACTTGTGTTCAGAAAGGCTTATACATACCTTGATGTTCATAAGCTTGCTAAGGAATTGGATTAATGAAGCAAACATAAGATAACTAAAAAGCCCAGACATCAGTCAACAATGGCCTGATGTAGAAAAACTTCAAGTTCTAAGCTGTCTTGGCCTAATGAATCTGCAACCAGAAAGCGGCTTGGACAAGATGAGAGCTCAAATTGAATACCAGAACCTAGAGATACACTCTCAGAAATAGAAGACGAACATCAGTAGACCACATAATTTTACATGCTTGTAATTCCTGCTTATTGCACGAATGAAAGGGGAGGGAACAGCTTCAAAGCTGTTCTTCAGAGCAGTTTGCACGAGAAGGGAGTCTGGGAACACAGTATGAGAGATAAAAATATGCTACTGCAGGAAAACCCAAACCACAATACCGGGCATAAAATACAGTACAACATAAAAGCCATGTGCACTTGTCTAGCACTGCTTGGCATTAGTGAGGGCATGGCTGGAGCAGTAATCACAGCAGGAGATCAACCAGGGCTCTGGGAAACATTCCTCCTCTGCAAAGAGCTGGAATTTTAAGCAGAGGAACAATGACTGAAACAAGCTTTAGGTATGTAAAAGGCCATTGCATAGAAGGAAAATAACCTGTTCTCTGCAGCCTGATCGACACTATAAATGGACAGCAGGAGAGACAGATGGAGAACATGGTGAGAGACTTGCTGACAGTAAGGACAGGGAGGCACTAAAACACAGATGGGTCTTATGCCCTCCAGCCCTTTCAGGCCATTAAGTAATAACATAGATGTAACTGGGGCAGGGGAACAGACCTGAGCATGTCCTTCATCATTGCCAGCCCTATTACTCTGCAAAAGTAAACTTTTTGGCTGCTAAGGACTTTTTGGGGTTTACCATTTTGGTCTGTGAAAGGACTCCAGCAAATGCTGTTGACATTATGGTTTCCTTCAGTTATTTCACTCCTTTTCAATCAAATTACCTAGGCGCAGCTTTTAGAAATACCCAACTTCCTAAGCAACACCTCTTGGGATACTTTTCTTATTCCTAAGACTAACAGTAACAATGATGTATCACGCCTTGCAACAGTGAGGCCTTTCCAAACTGAAATCAAGTCTGACTTTATCCACAGCAGATGAGCGCTCATTTTCTCTCACCCAAAGCAAGGTAGGGTAAACTGTTATATGCCCCTAACCAGCAGCTTGGATCATTTCCACAAACCAAGTTGCCTTTAAAACCCCAAGGGATTATTTACCACTTCCTACTACAAACATGTGACTGCATTTAATCCCTATGCTTGGCAAAGGGAACATTTTGCATTAACAGTGATTAATCAGGGTTTAGTCTCCGCTAAACCCAAGTCAGTTAAGAAATACAAAAAGCAACCTAGGACAGGAATAGCAGCCAACTCCACAATTTCATATGGAATACCACATTGGCAGCATCCAAAGGCATGGAAGTGCAGAAGCATTCACCCTGTATGTAAAGCACAGCAGAAGCTTCCACATAGAGACTGATATACGTACATAGACTGCAAAGGCAGCACTTGCTCTGTCTCTGGACAGAGGCAACTACGAGTTTCTGTGGAGCTTGCTTCTTTTTTGAATACACTCTGTATTATAATTGCACATTAACTTCTTTTAATAATGCAAGGCATGGTTTAATATAAACATTCAGGTTACAGAAAGTTTTATAACGGTATAAACCCGTCTGTCTGCTCAGATCTATTGTACAAGATTACAAAGCCAAACACTGAGGCCAGGCTTGAAAACAGCATCTCTTGTCATACAATCAGAATATTGTACATACAGAATACAGCTCGATGCTTCTCGATGCTCGATGGTTCTCCAGCATAACACCCAGGTTGTATTATTCATCCATAACACAAGTGCTTCTATCTTACAGGCACCTCACCAAGGGGCAGAAATGCCAAATACAACATTTTGGAGAGTGATATAGAACCACAGAACCATAGAATGGTTTGGGTTGGAAGGGACCTTAAAGATCACCTAGTTCCAAACCCTTGCCATGGGCAGGGATGAGGGTGCAAGATTACCCTTAGTAAAACATATATAAATCACACTTTGGCCAAGACTTTCAACAATTAACCAGATTTCTATAGATACCTCCCCTCAAACATTCTGACTTAACTGTTCAGTTGGTACACAACTAGATGAACAGAACCTCATCAAGTCTGGGAACTCTTTAAACTGGAAACTCTTTAAAATCATTCTGTATTTTCTTCAGACCTATTATAATTGAAGGGCATAGCTACTTTTGAAGAGTCAAGTCCTCTTGGATAAAAGGAACAGGAGATGCTTGCTTCAAGACCAGGCCTTCATCTCACTTATTTCCACGCAGCACCTTGGGTCAGTCAGCAGATACACTTGGAAAGCCACATGTTCAGAAAGACAGAATGGTCTTATGAATTATTTCAATGCACTCTCTAATTTCATCCTCCTTAATGACAAGGGGTGGTGCCAGCCGGATAATATCACCATGAGTAGGTTTGGCAAGAAGTCCATTATCACGAAGCCGCAAACACACCTTCCAGGCGTCGTAGTCTACAATTGAAGATAAACAGGAGACACTTAGAATACAGCACAAAAAGCAGCACAATTGAAGCATGTGGTATGTGGGGCCAGACTGTAAAATGCCGGCCATCTGGCAGTGAGATGAAGCGTGTTCACAAATGAAGCAGTTGCTTCTGAGCCGTCCCCTAGAATTTGCAGTGAACGTGCAAGACTGGTGCAGAACTGCAGTTTGTCTGAAGGGACTCACAAGTTTGCCTCCAGTACACTGAGTGCTTGCCTTGTAGCAATAAATTTAAAACAGGGAACCATGCGAAGCATTACATTTATGCCTGGATTTCAGCATATCATGTGCATGTCTTCTACAACAGCTCCCTGCAGCACTGTGTCACTTAGAATGTATTCAGAACAAGTATAATTGTCTGCTCTGGGTCCTACGCAGTTTTCTGATATAACTCAAGGTGTTAATTCCTAAAAACATGTTCCCAGTTGTCAGCTTTTTACTTCTTTGTACTCTCCTGGAATCATTGTACTCTTCCAGGTATCCTGGAAACAACCAACCTCAGCCAATCCTTCTATAATCTGGCAGAAACAAGTGTTCCAGATGTGGCCAGTTTTATTCTGATGAAGAGACAGAAGTGTATTTGTTGGGGGCAAGATTCACCCCAGGTTTGAACATTATCAAATCATAAAAGAACTTAATTCATAACACATAATTGTTCAGACTTATTTAGTAAAAAAAACCCCTAATTTTAGTAGCTCACAGTCACTTGCCTAGATTTTCAGTAGGTACTACAGTACTATAGCCAAGATCAGAATCCAGACATTATGCCTATAAACCATCCTCCTACTCCATTAAGATACTTTCAATTTAAGCTAAAAAATGTTTGTTCATGCTGTGATTGTGCAGTTGATTTTGTTTCCTTACCTTTGGTTTCCCGAATTACAATTGCATTTAATAGTCCTCTTCCTCGTACACAAGTTACAATATCTGATGGTGTCTTCATGAGCTCATTTCTTACTATATTACCCATTATTTCTGCATTTTTAGCCAAGTTTTCCTCTTCAATTACCTAAAGGGAAGTCAGATCTCCAGTTAACTGCAGGGCACTGCATTTGTTTTCTGTACCTTGCTGGAGTGGATAACTAAGGACATTACAACTGCTGAGCTGCTGTATCCAAAGTATTGCTGCAAAGGCTGCATATCCAAGCAGATTAGTATTAAGCCTTTTCATTCTTCTTCACAAGAAACAATAATCTCTTTGAAATTTTATTCTAAATTAACTGCTTTTCATTTGCTGTTATTTACAAGTAAATGATAAAGCTCTGAAGACTCTTAATCTGTCCAGGTCCACAGACTGGGTAATGATGAGGCTTTCAGAGTGACTTGCATTACATATAATCAATTATACAGTCACAGACTAATTAGAATATGGACTCTGTACAAGGCATTTTGCTAGCTTCTGATTGAGCCCCAGCAGCACATATGTTATCAATGTCACAGAGCAGCAGCCTCTGCAATATGGTCCTGTAAAATAAGCCAATTTGAAATGTCTTTGTGAAATTAGTGAAACTATTTTACTGAAACCTCCCTTAGGTAAACTTTGTCATTGAAGACATTGAGACCATAGGAACATAACAATTAGGACACATTCCCAGTAAAGACTTTAGCAGTTGTTTTGTGATCTGTGCAAAGTTAACCACTACCGATCCTCTATCCTTATTTAAAGCTGGATTTCCACTTGTAGCATAACAAGTAACATCATTTATTTAAGCAATGATCATGTCAGTGTGACACTTCTTTTCCTTTGGAATCCAAGTCTACTACAACACACAAACCTCCAGTGCTGCTATTGCAACACGGCAAGCTAATGGATTTCCTCCATATGTAGATCCATGTTCACCAGGCTTAATGGTCAGCATGACTTCATCATCACATAGTACTGCTGAGACCTGAAAGGGAAGGTCAGACCATTGATTTACATATATATTCATATTGTAATCTTACATATCTCTGAAGTATACTTTTCCCCAGGGCTCAGGAAAGGATAGTTTTCACCCTGTGGTGATAAATTACATTTACATTCCCAGCTCTGCATAGAGGAGTGTATCTGACAATCACATTACAGCCTAATCCCTTAAATACACTTAGCTATAGTGGTGACATTAACACTGAAGGGCATTTCTCCAAACTGAATATTATTTCAAGTTTCAGCTTCAAATGCTCTGTGCAACAACTGAGAAACCTCCAATCAGCCAAAATCGTTCAAGGCATATTGTAATTTCCAACCTAATCAGCAGGAATTTATATCACTCCAAGAGGATAAAAATCAGTCACGTGGGCATGCCAAGCAGACAAAAGTTATTCACAAATAGGTTGATAATGTATGTTTTAACACACATTGGTATTTTCTTTCCCTTTGCAGAATTCACCTTGAAATAATCCCAGCAAGACTGTGATAAATACTCTCCAGAGAGAGTACAACAGACTAACAAGTAATTCCAGACTGAAAAGCTAACCACTGGATACTTATTTTCCTGACAGGATAATATCAAACTGAAGAAAACAGAGATCAATTTTTCAATTAGTTGACAAGGGCTAGAAACACCTAAAAAAATGCCTAAGAAGATGGCATCTCATAACTTGCCAACCTAGCAAGTCGAGTATTAACACAGCAAGTTCAGGATACCATATAGACATTTCAGCTATAAAGGTAATATAGATCCTGTAGTTTTCATATGTATCTCTCACAACTTGAACTATTTGGCAGCACTATTTTGACCAGCAGGTTGAAGGAGGTGATCCTGCCCCTCTACTCTGTTCTCATGAGGACTCACTTGGAGTATTGTGTGCAGTTCCGGTGTCCTCAACATAAAAAGGACATGGAACTGTTGGAACGAGTCCAGAGGAGGCCACGAGGATGATCAGGGACTGGAGCACCTCCCGTATGAAGATTGGATGAGAAAGTTGGGGCTGTTCAGCCTGGAGAAGAGGAGGCTGCGTGGAGACCTCAGAGCAGCTTCCAGTATCTGAAGGGGGCCTATAGGGATGCTGGGGAGGGACTCTTCATTAGGGACTGTAGTGATAGGACAAGGGGTAGTGGGTTCAAACTTAAACAGGGGAAGTTTAGATTGTATAGAAGGAGGAAGTTCTTTCCTGTGAGGGTGCTGAGGCACTGGAATGGGTTGTGCAGAGAGGTTGTGAATACTCCATCCCTGGCAGTGTTCAAGGCCAGGCTGGACAGAGCCTTGGGTGCCATGGTTTAGTGTGAGGTGTCCCTGCCCATGGCAGGGGGTTGGAACTGGATGATCATGAGGTCCTTCCACCCCTATGATTCTATGATTCTAATTGTCTCATAAATCATAGTTAATCTTGTAAACACTGATTTCCAAGTACAACAAACATCAGACTTATTGTTCTTCCAACTAGTAGACTTTCAGTGTTAATTACTTAGAAATCACTATTCTACAAATAGATACTTCTTTGTTTACTCACGGGATATAAGCCACCAGAAAGGGCCTTTCCGAGAAGAACTATATCAGGTCTCACATTTTCATGGTCAACAGCTAGCATCTTCCCTGTTCTGGCTAAACCAGTCTGTACTTCATCAGCAATAAAGAGAACCTTTAGAGAGACAAGGAAGAAAAATCCGCACATAAAAGGATGATTTTTAACTTCCATTCCCAACTCAGTTCAAATAATACAGCAGAATTGCACGCAGTAAGTGTAAGACCTTCCAGCTGCATTACTTTAAGTACATGAAGGTACTTCCTTTAGCTCCTTTAAACCTCCTGGAGACTTAAGTGTTCTATGAAATGTGAAGCTACCAACAAGTGAACATATTGTCCTCTCTCTCCGATAACTTTAGCACATTCTGTTCTACATAAGACATGGACACTGTCCAACCAATATCTGTTCGCCATATCACAAGGAGTAGGATTTCCAAAATGTTAGGATTCATCTATCTCTACTCCCAGTGCATTATTTGTGCCTTTGGAAGTTGAAGGACATGGAAATACACAACAAACATACCTTCCCACCCTTCCAGAGACACTGAATGCAAGTCTGTCTTTCTTCACTCACAGACAACAGTTATGGATCTAACACTCCATTTTCAAAACTAAACATTTCTTAGTACAATTCAGACAGGACATAATATTGAGAATAGGAGTCAGGACTGGGGCATGAAAGAGAATCTAAGAAAATGCTGAAAAAAGGACAAAATTATGAGACCTCTGGTCATCAGAGAATTTAAAAGATCACTCTTAAGCATATTTTCTTCACTGTGCCATTCTGTGACCCACTACTAGCTCTTGGTAACGCTTAAGCACTCCATAACAAGGTCCCTTGACAGCCATGGTAGACGCACTGCAGGAATTAGCTTCTCGCCTAAGAAACTTATAATGTGGAAAAACAAATGAAAAGTTAATATAAACTAAATGCAATTTCAAGAGCATTCATAAGAAACTTCAGTCAGGGACAGCAGCAAGAAAAATGTGCACTGCTAAGAAGTACTTTCGGGTAAGGAAAGAAGTCTCCCTCCCCTATTCCACTGAAAGAAAAGGAAATTATTAAATAGTACATGAAGTCCTGTACCTTGCATACAAGGATGACCTTACAAAACCCACCAGTGTGTAATGTTTAAGCCACTTTGTTATGGAGAATTCCTTACATTGTGTTTTGTACAGAGGTCCCGCACTCCTGTGAGATAACCTTTGTCAGGAATGACCACACCTGCTTCACCTTGAATGGGTTCGACCATGAATGCTGCTACATTGGGATCTTGAAGGGCCCGCTGTAAAAATGGACACATAAGGAAGACAAGAAGAAAAAGCTTTTATTAGGTCAAATCTAGAAGATATGGAACTGAATACATATAGCAGAACCTAGCTCTAAGCCTGGAGTTCTGCCTCAAGTGATAACAGTATCCATACCAGGAGTTATCCCCAAATGGCATGCCAGTTCCAACACAAAAGCCTGTGTTATTTTTGCCTTGAGAAATCAGTTGCTGTGCTTGCTTGGAAAGTTACAAAGCTTAAAAATTGCAGACTCAGACAAGCAGATTATCAGGGCAGCTCTTAAATTACCTCAGAAATACACCCACTTTGGCATTACCCCATGCAGGACAAACAGTTGCTCAATGCTTCCGTCAAACGCAAAAGAACGGTGCCTCTCCAGAACAGTTTTGTCACCTTAAAGCAAAGTCCATAGCTATATTCTTGCACCATCAAGTTCTAAAAGGTTTAGAAGTCCATGAGACTCAAGAGATATAGTGATTCCCAGCATGAATTTACTACATAATTTCTCAGTATGGCCCCATAAACAGAATGAATTCAGTCATCACTCTGACAGACACAGAACCCTGTTTCAGGTCTCCACAGCACATTATTCAAAGCCTTGATAAAGTTGGCTAAAAGCCACTAAATACTTACAGGGCTTTCACAATGGGCAGCTTTATGTAGGTTCAAATCTGAATAAGCTTTTCCACACAGCAACTATAATACACTGAGAGACCTTTGTTTCCTCTAACCAAACTCTAAGGAGGCAAGCATCTCTGTCTTAAATCCTCCGATCTCCACGGTGACTCACTTGTACAAAGGAGACCCAATATGCAGAGAGGACTAACCAACTCATCACTCAAGGAGACAAAGGGGAATGGCATTAAGCTGGAAAAGGGTAGATTTAGATTAGATAACGGGAAAAAATCTTCCCTGTGAGGGTGCTGAGGCGCTGGCACAGGGTGCCCAGAGAAGCTGTGGCTGCCCCATCCCTGGCAGTGCTCAAGGCCAGGTTGGACACAGGGGCTTGGAGCAAGCTGCTCTAGTGGAAGGGGTCCCTGCCTGTGGCAGGGGGTTGGAACTGAGTGAGCTTTAAGGTCCCTTCCAACACAAACCAGTTTGGGATTCTATGATTCTATTACCCAGATGATGGAAAAGTGGCAATGCCAGTGTTCCTAGTGCTTCAGGACTACCTGTGTTTGGCTGGAACCCTCGTCTCCCAGGTCCCAAGTCTAGCACCCTATGACTGCCGTCAAGCACCATCTGCCCTTTAATACTTTAGCCTAAATTATGAGGATGGGAAAGCAGGTTAACTAGTTTCAGAATCCAAGTCCTGACTTTGGAATGTATGCTACTGATGTGAATTCCCTTAAGTTGTACCTGCTGTTCTTCATTTGTACCTTGAATATCTTACTGATGTGGGAAATGAAACAGGTTGTGTGGTTTTCCTTTTACATCCTAAAGCAAAACTGAAAGCAGATTTTACACACATCTCCCATATGTATTGTAATATATATATTTCTTATGTCTAGATACATATATCTTAGTGTCAAACCACATTTCAAAGGATAGACTGATTTTCCTGCCTTGCTATTTACCAATGAGATGCTGTAAAATAATTGCTGACAAGAGAACAAAAATGGTCAAATACCTCAAGAGCTGGTAGGTCGTTGTATGGGATCACTTCAAAACCCGGCATGAAGGGTCCAAATCCATCATAGCTGGATGGGTCAGTCGAACTAGAGATAGCAGACATTGTTCTGCCCCAGAAGTTGCCAGCTACAGAAGAATAAAAGGGGTGAGTTTGTTACAAAACCAAGATGCAGAACAGTTTAGAGGACATCACACTTTCCATCTGGTAATGTGGTTTAAGAGTTGTCTAACATTAGTATATTAGCATCCTTCTGCTAATTGTCAGCATTTTATATGATGCCATACACTGTGTTGCTGTATCAAAAGCACATATCAACTTTTTAATTCACAAAGTTCAAGGAGAACCCATGTAGATTTACAGAATACTGTGGCATTGTGCTGTTTCCTATAGAAACATGAGTTAAAATGTCTAGGAACCATCTATCACCAAGACCATGACATATCCATTTAATAGTTCAGATAAGTCAACATACTCCCAGCTAACCAGTAAGAAGGTGCTTAACAAGACTAAGATTAAGGGTTCAACATCTTCACAGCATTCCAGTACTTTTCTTTCCCCCCTTATTTCTGTGTATGTAGCTGTGATCCCAGGGGCAAAGATTGCTCTCAATCTGCAGGAAATCCTAAAGTCAATTGTTACTGAAGCAGCCAGCTCTAGGCATCCCCTCTGTCTCATTGCCAGAGTAAACAGCATTACAGTGTTCACCACAGCAATGTCTCCTAAGGGAACAATCCCTGCCAAGCTTTGCTCAGTCACGTGCTTGTCACCTCAAGGTTATGTTAGAGCAACCCTCTGTATCCTGAAGCAAAGCCCTGAGGACTGCATTACTCAGAGCAGAGCAGGCTGGCTGCTGATGGCAGGCTCTCTCCACCTTAGCACCACTCCAGTCTCTGTGCTGGCTCCCTATCAAGCACAGAATCTACGTCAAGTTCTCCAGACTGATGTTTAAAGCCATATTTTGTTCTGACCCAGGCTACCCAAGAGGGCCTTTCTTCTGCCAAATTGCTGGCTTAGACAAGAGGATTACTGGGTTTTTTTTTCCTAGCTACTTGGCACATAATGACATATTGTGGTTCAGGGGACTGGATCATAAAAATGGAGAGCATATCCAGCTCGTCAAGATGAGAAAGCACTTACTAAAAATTAATTGCATGAAGAGCAAAATAAACTATATGGAAGGGAAGGAGGGAGAAATATATTTGTTTAAAGAATTCCCAGAAGAAATAAACAACCACCTCATCTATTTAATCCCATAAACCATAATGTAATCTTTAACTATGAATTGCAATTTAGAAATGCTGCCTAATCACAGTTTATGGTTCAGGTACTATAGATACCAACAGTCAAAACCAGTATTTGCAGCTGGACCAATTAAAAAGAAGTCAGTATTTAAGTAATAAGCTTTATTCTGGAAGGTTTTATAAAATACAGAATCACTGAACAACATTAGAATTGACAAACATACTTCACTTATAACCAAAACCACCAAATGTCAGTTATCTGAATTAGACATTTATTTATTTCCCTAATAAAGCACAACAGTCTCTTCAGAGCAGGTAACTTCTTCCTGTTAGACAGCCAAGCAGAGCAGGCAGATAAAGGGCATCAGATACTTAATCAGGATTTTCCAGGGCCCCATATCTATTTTAGCAACATTGCTTTTACTGTCATTGTGTGATCAAGACTACAGTATGGCTTTACTGGGTTAATGCCAACTTCTCAAAGACCTTAAGAACGTGGAAGAAAACTATTGGCAGTGAAAGCCTAAGAAGGAAACAGGCTTAACCCTGATGTGAAATCTGTGAGAAGAATGAATTCACCAATTAGTGACACCCAAGCAGCAGTTAAAGGAGCGTGGAGCACTCAATGCACTTCCCAGGCATTCAACCTTTTTAGCTGTCAAAAATGGGTAAGTAGTACAAATAAGGTCCACTTTAAATACTCAATACTGTTTATAAAGCCTTATCAACCACCTTACTAACAACAGTTTCCTCCCTGGATTTAAGTTCACTGTTGCATTTCCCTTGCAAAACCAGACATTACCAGCAGTTCCTGACACAGCACAACTACCCTCATTGCCTCTTGATGCGTACACCTCCACAAGGGAGAGGATCTGAAACTGATTTGTCACAGGAATTATACTCACATCTCTTGCTTTTACAGTCATATAAGATCACAGGATCATTTCTGTTAAGATCACATGTGTTTCTTTAAGGACATTACATTAAAAAAAACCCAACAAGTTTCTAATTCATTGTAACTATTCAAGGTTAAAGCCAAATAGCCAGAAGCTTAGGTAGAATGTTTTGTCAATAGAATATATTTTAAGACTGAACTTCACAATTTAGGAGGAGGCACTTGCCTAATCCTAAAGTCCTGCAAAGACTCTTGTAACCACAACAGAATCACCAACTATAGGTACGTGAGTACAACATAGCCTGTTAACAGCTTGAGAACTTAGCTTCCATTATTAAAATGCCAAAGGTTACAGAAACCTTCAGCAGACTTGGTTCAGTGACAAAACTGAAACATTAAGAATGCTGCAAAGTACTACAGCTATAGGACAAAAAGTGCTATATGCAGTGGCTGGAGGTGTCTTCCTCCTCAGTACATCCAGTACAATTAGAACTCATAACACATTTTACATACCTGCAAAAATAATTTTTGCTTTGTACTTTGGAATTCCTTTCACAGTGTATGCCCACTTCCGAGCCAGCTTACAGGCAGTTTCTCCAGCTTCCACTCCTAAAACATAAAGCAGAACCATTATCACACTTGTATATGAAACAGGTCACTAATACAGAACCAAATGCTACAAGACCATTGAATCTCACAGACAAGAAATACAATGGAAATAAAGTTATCTTTTTACCTGTGTTCATTGGAAGAACTTTGTTATAATTGAACATTTTGGTGACAAACTCCTCATATTCACCCAGTACATCATTGTAGAACGCTCTGGATGTAAGGGTCAGTTTCTCAGACTGAGTTTTCAGAGCATTCACGATCTTTGGGTGACAGTGGCCTTGATTAACAGCACTGTAAGCACTCAGAAAGTCAAAATACTTTCTACCTTCAACATCCCACACATAAACACCTAGGAAAACAAAGGTATGGTCAATACACATAACAGAAGAAGACATGAGATAATGCTAAAGGGTGGAAGCTGAGAGCTACAACACAACCTGGTCAAATATAAATGGTATTCTTGCTATTCGTTAGGCTTATCTGAAAGGTCCTCTAATTAGAAAATAATCAATTGACAGTGGAAGGTTGAGCAACAAATTAGCACAGTAAAACTAAATGCCCAAGGAGGAATCAAGAACAGAAGCATTTCACATGTAAAGCTGCGGTTCTACTATGTTAGTAAGTAATATCAGAGTATTACTTCCCCTCCAAGTCCCTGTTTTGCATCCTAAAATGTAACTAAAGGATATTTTTGTAAGAGGATTAATAAGAATTGGAGGTCATAAAAGAAAGAACAAAACCGACAGAACCCAAAGAGTCTCAAAATTTAAGAGATGGTCAGCTCTGAGCTGTCAAACTGTGTGCTGAAAGTGAAAAACTATTGGGTCAGTATGCTGATAGCATTTCAGTATAAACTCATAGAATTTAACAGGCAGAGAACAAAGTTCCTTTAAACATAATTAAAAGATCAGAGCAAGAACAGTACAAAAGGACTAAATAGGGTTCCAATGCACCTTTTCCTCTTGACATGAGAATTAAACCTCTCCACAGAAGGTAACAGAAGAAATAGAATTGCTTGAAACTTTCTTGTTGAGTTATTATGAATTATGATCTGAATTATGAACTTAGACCTCTATTTAGATGAATTATTTCAGAGACTACAACTTTATTAGGCAGCTTTATGCATAATGATCCAGTTCTCTAACCAGCAATTAGTCTTTATTTCATCAACTACCTCAATTCCATCCCAACCCCCAAAAAACCCAAAGGTTCAGAAATTGATTAGCTCAACATCATTATGCCATGATCCCATCCCATCTACACACACTCATCATCCCATCGACACCACCCAGGGAAGAGCCTAGATAAAATACCTTTTCCTTTTTCCAGAGCAACAGGCAGTGGGTGATAATTGTGGGCACCATATTTAGCCTCACGTTCAAATATGAACTCGGAGGATGGAGGTCCTTGAATGGTTTTCTTAGTAGCAACTGAGGTGGCAGAACTGAGCGAAGCATGAACACTTCGACAGAGAACAGCGATGCTCTGTGAGCGGGTTAGCTTGGAAAACATTATTGACTTCAGGGATGCTGCTATAGATCTGGGGGGAAAGAAAGAAAGTTAATCATTAGCACTAAGAATACTTCAGGAGAAACATATGACACGATTGAGGTGCTTTTATTGCCAGGTTACAGGTTTTTCAATTCTTGTGCAATTCAATCGAGCTCTTATGAAGTATAAATGAATGCAGTAGTAACTTTAAATAAGTATCGGTTTCTGTTTTAACATACACTTACAAGAACATACACATAAACACTCAGCAGCACTTTAAGACCATCAAAAATCAGATATTAATGATTATTATGGCATCTTGTATTTTCTATAGCAGAACTCTGTGATTTCCCCTGAATCCATAACCTTGTACTGGTAACGTCTAAGGATTATCTAAGAGCAGAATTTCATGGGACAAACACATTTCCTCCTGTGCCTTCACCTCAGTCAATGTAAACATAGGTATGACAGAAGGGAAACTGAGCTGGCATTCTAAAAGCTCTTCAAGCAAGCTCTTCTTACAGCACCAAGTACTGGGAGCAGCACAGAGCCCCTAAGGAAACCACAATTGCTTTAACAAGGGCAAGAGTTCTCAAAGCTTGAGTTCCTAGTCTTGCAGAGCATCACACATAAACTGGCAGAAGATGTAAGGCTCAAAGGAAAATCACAGATTATAATGACAAGTACTTTGATTATCAAATGTAGACTCTTTTGTCACATACTCTGTAGCAAACTGAAGAGTTAAGGAGCCTTGATACTGCTGCACCACCCAACAATAAAAGCATGCTGTAAAACTTAACCAAAATATGCTTATTAAATATCAAGATGAGAATGCTATAATATATTAAATATAACAGAAGCAAAGGCAGAAGCTCTTCCCTGTGAGGGTGCTGAGGCGCTGGCACAGGGTGCCCAGAGAAGCTGTGGCTGCCCCATCCCTGGCAGTGTTCAAGGTCAGGTTGGACACAGGGGCTTGGAGCAAGCTGCTCCAGTGGAAGGTGTCCCTGCCCATGGCAGGGGTTGGAGCTGGATGAGCTTTAAGGTCCTTTCCAACCCAAATGGACTCTATGATTCTGTGAATGCAAGGATGATTTACTCAAGGCTGTTGTTATTTCAGGCTGCTTGCAGAGACAAATATTAAGTCATAGATATTTTCTAAATTTATTTTGGAAAGGGTCTGCACTCTGGGTGTGTCACATTTAACAGAGGGGCATTTCTTTCAGCACAATCCTCAGGTATTACATTGCTGCTCCTCACTTCTAAGCAAAGCCAAGCCAGGAGACTATTTACTGCATCTGCCAAAACCCAAGTCTTTAGGAAGCATCAATAGTCTCCATTCCAGCAAGGCATGAATAGCAGCTTCACAGCTCTGGGCATTTTACCAGCTATCATCACCGTTGTTATATATTAGCTGTTTGTGTTAATACTTTAAGATTTTACAAATAAAAGAGACAGATATTTCTCTGTGCAAGAAAAAGAATTGACAGGAACTGAGCTCAACTAAGCCACTCCAATTTACAACTTGCTTAACTCCCAAAATGTAACTGTGCTGCGATATCCAGGCCCCTGGCACACCTCCAAGGCACAGCAGATAATTCTGCCACAGGCTCCCACGTTTTTGGAGACTCTCTCATTCCTGAAATGAAAACTACAAGGAAATGAAGCTGCCTTGCTTCAGAGAGCGACTGTTCTGCACGACGAATGACAGACCGCTAATACGAGGTTCTCCTCTTACTGTGTTCAGGCTGGAAAATACTAATCTGAAATGATCCAAAGGTTTTCCCCTCTCCTTGAGGAGAAACACCCTCAAAGTGTGCTAGTGAGGTCACATCATGTTAGCTGAGGTGATTACATGGAGTAGGGCTGGGTGAAGCTGGGAATTATGGATGTATCTAGAATGAAAAGGTGAAGAAGAATTCAGTTTTGATGGTCAACATGAGAAGGTGAACAGAAGTTTTGGGATGGAGGAGAGGCACAATGAAGGGGGGGGAAGAAAGAAAAAAAACCAGACTGTGAGGAAGTGAGAAATATGATCGTGCACTGCAGCACGCAGTACTGGAATCAGAAGCCAGGGTGTTTCACCAAGTGGAAAAGGTCTTGCATCAGAATAGAAAAGCTACACGAAGCACAGCTGTAAAACATACTTGAACCATTTTGCTCGACTGTTGAGCAAGAACATCCAGAGAAGCACTGTGCCTGCAGACCCCACGGAGCAGCTGTATGCACCCCATCTCTGACATGCACTGGAATACACCCCAAGCTAAATGGCATGCATTATCAGATACATGAAAACCATTCAGGTTCATGTTGATACAGCATGCCACGCTGCAGCCTTTACTAACTCAAAGGGGGTGAACGTTCAAGAGCACAAGCTATAGCAGGAGGCCTACCGGTCTAGACATGCCAAACCACCTTTTCAGACCACACCACATCAGAAGCAGCCCGGGACGTAGCCCAGCAGACAAGAAAGAGTAAGAAACCCAGCGCTGGAACACCAGCACCCTCTCGCCATCCCCTGGCCAAGGCCGCTGCAAAGGTGTCACGGACCGGAGCAGCGCTGCCAACAGACACAAAGAGAAGAGTGACGGTGGAGGCTTGGCCTCCCCATACCCCGGCCACATAGCGACAGCGGCTCTGGCCTCAACGCTGCCCGGCGCTGCCGGCCCCGCCGAAGGGCCCTGCCCCGGGAAGCAGCCGCAGTGGGGAGGCCCGACCGCTCCCGCCGCCTCAGTGACGGGGCCTCTGCGGCCTCGGCTGCACAACCGCTGTCCTGCCGCCGCCGCGGGGCGGAACCCGGGGCAAGGCGGCACCGCGGGAGGCAGGAATCGCACCCCTCAGGCCGGGTGCCCCCCGCCGCGCTGTACCTGGTGGTGCTTCCGCCGCGGCTGTTGCTGCTCGGCCCGTAGCCCGTGGCGAAGAGGCGGAGCCGGCCCGCGGCAACTGTCACCGCTCCTCGCCTAGCAGCACGCCCCGCCCCGCCGCGGTGACGTTCCCGTCGCTGCCGCCTCTGATTGGCTACCGCGGATGATTGGCAGCCTCCACCCCCCGCTCTGCCATTCCCCGAGTGGCCTCACCGGCCCTCCCACCCGCTGCCGCTTCCCATTGGTGAGACCGCGAGCACACCCCGTGCTCAGCCAATCAGGATGGGACGCCGGCACACCCGCGCGCCAAGGCACCGCCCAGTTGGCCGCCGCCCGCCTCCTCGCCTCTTCCAGCAGGCCGGGGGCTTCGGGATCCGCCCGGCTCGGGGTAACAGCGGCCGTCGGGGCGATGGTAGCAGCCACAGAACCCCTGCTCCGCTCGGCGGGCCGAACAGAGCCCCCTCCGGTCCAGTATCACCGCCCTCGGGTCGGGTACCGCTGCTCAGCCGGCTCCTCCATTGTGCCAGTCGGCCCTTGGACGCGCTTGCTCCCGTCTGGGAAGCTGCTGTAGAAAAGGGTGAGCAAGGAAATCAAAACCTGAGAGGAAAGACACTCCTGGAAATGGGAAGTGTGTGGGATGACTGTGGGAACTGTGAGCTGGCTGCTGCTCGTCCTGTGGCCTCCCTGCATGGGTAGCAGCATCCGCAGGTCATAGTATAGAATGGGTTGGGTTGGAAAGGACCTTGAGCTCATCCAGTTCCACCCCCCTGCCATGAGCAGGGACACCTCACACTAGACCATGGCACCCAAGGCTCTGTCCAACCTGGTCATCACTCCCCTGGTATTTTATGAGATACATTTTCACCAAAGCTTCAGTGATCTTTTTCAACGAGCTTTTTCCTGATCTTACACTTGTGGCTTAAAAGAAATCATTTAAAATAACAGGGATTCACTAAGTTTGCTAATGAATTCTCCACAGAGTTCCTGTGCCAACTGTTCTCTGCCCACATGTAGATTGCACCAACTTCCTCTGCAGTTCCTCAGTGTGGTACCATGCCAGGAGCAGACTGCAGGTCCCTGCTGGTGGTGTGGCATTGATGGAGACCTGGCCTTCACACCCTGCTGCCTTTGGAGGGATGGAAGCATTGGGGAGTGAGGTCCATTACAGGACAGCCCAGCTTAGAGCTTTCATGAGGGAGGCAGCAGGTGAGCAGGGGCAGGCTGTAACTAGCCAGCACAACCCTGACCTTTCCCCAGGCTAAATTACACTTAGAGAGCATTTGGAAACACCCAGAAAATCTGGATGTTTACAAGGAGCTGTGAGATGTGTTTGATAAATACATGCTGGGTTTAATCCAAAAGAAACACATTGAGAATATTTCACTTTTTCTATTACCCACCTGACCGGGGGACCCCAAAACCCCTCAGTCTTAGCAATGATAACCTCTAGCTGCCTCTTGCTTTTTGTTCTAAAATTATCCTGACGATTTTATCACTGCTGGAAAACAGTATCTTTTTGCCACAGAGAAAGCATGCTGTCCAAGGTTGATGTGCCATTTGCATATCTTCCCTGCAACCCTACAACTGAAAATACTCTTGCATCTTGTTGTATCTTCTAACCAAATTGCTCAAACCCTGGCTGTCAGGGAGCAGCATTGCTTATGTGTTTGAAGAGCAGTGCCCTCAGAGAAAACATTTCCCAGTGTGCAGTCAGCTTGATGCAGCGAGAGTTGGGAGCACAACTGCTGTGCTCGCTGTAAATACACATACACTTAGGCTCAATTTGCTAATATGGTTATAGCTCTTACTAGGTATAAACTAGATATAGTGCCCTACATCTGCTGCCAAAGCTGAATGCATAAAGCACCGAAAGGTTGTGCCTTGGGTGCTGAATTGCAAAACACATTTCACAAGTCATTGTTGAATGAATACATAGTTGTACTGTGCCAAGTTTTTAAGTCCAGAAGCAGTTATTATCTGTTATTATCTTTATGATTTTTTTCCCTGAAATGCCTAAAATTTTAAGTCTGAAAATGTATTTATTGTTTTAATTTTAAGTACTTTCCTGGAGTTCATCCAGCTCTGGAGCCCCCACAATACGATGGACATGGTGCTGCTGGAGCGAGTCCAGAGGAGGCCACAGAGATGGGTAAGTTCTATATAGGATCAGCATGTTCCTGTTGTGGCTCATTTTCTTTCCTCCCTTTCTTTAGGGAGGAAAGGGAGGCACTTATAATCAAGACACAGAAAATATCCACTTTTCTTCTTTAAATGGTATCATGTTGGGATTTTAAATTGTTCACATTGTGCACAGTGGCAGCTATTACTGTAGATCCTGAAGCAGCTGCTCCCAGCTACATGTACTATTTCCTGTGACTTAGAAAGGAAAGCAGAAGTTCAATGGGAACTGATTAGTTACCTGTAGATACCTGAAAGACTCCACATGACTGTAACCAAAATATGATCAACAGAAGACATGAAAGTTCACATTTGACAGAAATTTGCCCTGCAGAAAAGAAGAAAATCTTGACCTACTTGAGAAAACAAGGTTATTATATTCATTTTGCTTATCCAGAAAATACAATTTGACATGTAAGTAAACCATAGAGTTATAAGAAGAACAAGTTAAGTCATGCCAGTTGTTAAGAGTAATTCTGCAGCTCTGTCTCTGGCACAAATGCTCATTGAAGTCATCAGGAATTAGGCGTGTGGGGAGACTGAGGAATTGCATCCCAGTTACTGTGGTTATTTAGAGGTAGGGACAAACCCAAGGAATTACAGCCTGGGCCTCCTGAGTCGGTTTGGCTGCACAAGCTCAGCGAGTGAGTGCCAGGGATTAGCATTCTGCTCATGGAGGCTGCTGAAGGCACTAACACAGTGAGTTTAACACTCTGAGCTCTGCTGCAGTGAATGTCCAGAGTGCCTCAGCAGCTGATGTTCAGGCACGTGGCACCAGTGTTCAGTTCTTCAGTGGCACAGTAGTTTCTTACTCTTCTTACTCAGCTCAGAGGAGGAGTTCTTTACCTCAGAGCAAGACCTAGACCAGTCAGAAGGCTGAATGTGGAGTTCATCCAAGTCCCGAGGCTCAAGGTGCAAGTTCATGATTAGCTAAAACCAATGCAAGTCTATGGTGCTGGCAGCAAGGGAGACCCACCCCTTTTCCCATCTCTGGGAAAGCCACAAGGGTAGTCTTCACTCTTTCTCCTCTTGCTGAAATTGTACTGCCACTCAGCAAAAAAAATTACACTTCTCTGAGCCAAAGGCAGATTTTAAGGCAAACCTGGTGCTGAGTGTATTGCCCTGGAGATTGCCCTGTAATACCAAACTTTTCTGTGGCACGTGTCTCCAATTTGAAAACAGATGTCTGGGAAAGACCCCAGGGGGAGATTAAGGTGATAAGATACCAATGATGGATGGGTCATATCAGGAAATTTCTACTTCAACACTTCAATCTTTCATCAGTGATAGTTGAGAGCTGGGCTTGTTCAGCTTGGAGAAGAGAAGGCTCCTTAAGTGGAGACCTTTAAGCAGCTCCAGTGCCTAAAGAGGCTACAAGAAACCTGGAAGAGAGTCTTTGGACAAGGGCCTGTAGGGACAGGCCAAGGGGAATGGCTTGAACCTGCCAGAGGGTAGACTGAGATGAGCTCTTAGGCAGAAGCTCTTCCCTGTGAGGGTGCTGAGGCGCTGGCACAGGGTGCCCAGAGAAGCTGTGGCTGCCCCATCCCTGGCAGTGCTCAAGGCCAGGTTGGACACAGGGGCTTGGAGCAAGCTGCTCTAGTGGAAGGGGTCCCTGCTCTGGCAGGGGTTGGAGCTGGATGAGCTTCCTTCCCAACCCAAACCATTCTGTGACTCTATGATTCTATGAAGTTGTTGCAGACTTTTGGTAGTGCCTTATATAAAAAAATGCTCTCCATGGCCCGTGTTTGCATTATTCTGGTTATTTGCTGACAGCAGAATTCTACATTAAGACATTTCTTTTGGGACAAGTAACGTGAGTCTTTCCTGCAGCACAGCCAGAATATTTTACAGTGCGATGTGTCAGAACCCATGAGCAACAAATTGTAATGTGTGCAAAGCACATCTACCTCGCACGTTCAGTTAGAGATTTGTTTTTCACATCATATCTTTAAAGGTAGTTTGGCAAAGCTTAGCACAACTCCCTCAAAATCGTGCTGTTCTATTGGAGGGATGCAAGATAACCCAGCTTAAAGCACAACAACAACCCTTACAGCTGATATTCCTATTGCAGTATAAACCTTGAGCTATAGTTAATACTTATCCACCCCAATTTGTGCGTTGGCTTATTTTACACAGATCTCAACAAGACTCTGTTTGTTAGATGACAGCATGGATAACTGAATTAAAGAATCAAAACAGTTTAAGTTACTGTCTTCTGTTAGGCATTGTTTCCGATTTTGAATTTACATTTGGTTATTTTCCTTTGCAACTTATGTCCAGAGCCTTCCACAGATGAGATGAGACATCTTATTTGTATGAATAACCTAGATTAAAAGGTAAATTATAAGCTCTTTATTTCTTGATCTTGTAGTTAATTAAATGAAAGAGCCTTTCTATATACATTTCTGGTGAGCAGCACAATCTATGTGCATTACACTACCAAGAAAACACACAGTTGAGAGAGTTTGGGAAAACAACTTTCAGTGTACCAAGGCAGATTAAAAGAGCTCACTAGTGGTGAGTTTTAGGTTTTTCTCTAGTTCTGACATGCAACTCTGACAGTAGTGCCCCTGAAGTTCCTGCAGCAACATGAGCCAAGTGTGAGAGCCATGAAAGCAGAAAGTGGGCAGGGGCCTGAGAATCCCCAAGAGCCTGATAAATGGCATTTTCTAGCATAGAAATCAGAAATGGAAAGATAAAAACCAAAGAAAATCTGTGTGAGGTTAAGTCAGTTTGAATTCCAGGCTTTCAAGTGCCTCATATGTGAGCTTGCTTCTTCCATGTACAAATGTAGTTTGATTTGAACCCTGCAGATCTTCTGCTTCCTGACTTCCATTCTTCATTCTTGGATTCTTCAGTCTTTTCCAGTGATTTCTGGAAGAGGCAACAACTTTACCTCCAGACATTCAAATCTGACCCAGATGGCAGCTATAAATGTGATGGCAGCACAGAGAAAATGAATATAAATACATCTAACTGTGTAATAAGAATAAATACCTTGTCAATTTGGTTAATCTCAGGATTGAGTACTGAACATCTGGATACATTTTCTCTCAGGAGCTAGGAAGCTCTTCTCAGGATTGTACCAGGACACATCCCCACTGTGGCCTACAGTTCAAGTGTTTGACATTGCTGCAACAAAGATTTGTGACCTTACTAAATGCAGTGTAAAACTGTGCTCAGGGCTGGTGGAGTCTCAAACTGAAGAACTTACATAATGCCTTGATCGAGTCAGACTTTAACTTGGTGTCATTGCAGTGAAAGATTAGCAAAGGAACCTATTGCATCATCTGCCTCCTTAGGATGACATGTGGCAAGTTCCTGAACTTCCCCATTCAGGACTTTAAAAGAGCCATAGATTTTGTAGAATACAGATCATTCAGAAAATTACAGGCTTTTTTTGATACATGCTAGGACAAAAGACTTTGCTTTGAAGTCCAGTGTTTTAAAACAATTTCTTTCAGACAAGCATAGAATCGTTTGGGTTGAAAAGGACCTTAAGGTCATCCAGTTCCAACCCTTGCCATGGGCAGGGACACCTCACACTAAACCATGTCATGCAAGATAATAATTGTTGTCAAAAATCACACAACTTGAGGTATCCGAAGTATGGAGAACGTATGCCAAAAGGAAGTAAGATCCTCAGAAAACAGAAAGATCTTGACAGAAATGACCTACTCTGGAACTATCATATGGTGTTCCTTAAAAGGGGCACACAAACTAGTAAAGCATTTAAACTCTTTGCTCGCTGTGGCTCATTGACCATTTCTCCAAACTAATGCTCTTTTCAGGCAGTTCCAGTGAAGTGCAGCATTTCTTGGATTCAGCAATACCTGGGACTTCCAGAGTGATTCAGGGAGGGACTGAATGATAAGAGAAGCTGTGAAGCTAATGGCCACCTACAAGCACTAAACAAGAGGTGTCAGCACAGGTATTGGGTGTTGGGACATTGGCATGGAATTGACCTAACCTGAGAGGACAAGGTACAACTCACCTGACTCTAATTCATCACATCAGGTTCTTAAAGATCTACAGATATGAAATCTGATATCTTTTCAGATTCCCATTTTGCAATGTCTACGTATCTCTGTATATTCTCCTTTAAAAAAGATAAATGAATGTTTAATCTAGAATCAGAATTCTGGAATGGTTTGGGTTGGAAAGGACCTTAAAGCTCATCCAGTTCCAATTCCCTGCCATGAGCAGGGACACCTTCCACTAGAGCAGCTTGCTCCAAGCCCCTGTGTCCAACCTGGCCTTTAAGGCTTCTTTCTTTCTTTAAAAAATAGCAGTAAGTAACTCCCATGATCAAAGCTAGCATGTGTAGGAAGAAGTAAGATCTTTGATTTGTATTGATTTTCATCTTGTACACAGATCTGGTATCTTTGAAAGTATTTTCAGTATGTCAGAGGCTGCTTGGTGGAAAAGCATGAATCTGGGATGCTTCTGACATCCCTCTGCAGTGTTGCAACGTGCCTCAGCCCCATTTTTAATTACATTTTTTATGTGGCATTCCACAGAATGTAGAAAATGAGGTGATCATCTTGAGAAAGAAGCTTGTTTAGGAACTCTTCAGGTTTTGAAGGGGAAAATCTAAGAGAAATTGTGTTTAATACTTTGTGAAGCAAAGGTAGTGTTGCTACAGGCTACATGAATCACAGGAACCACAAAACAGCTCCTGTAAGTAAAACAGCACAGAACGCAGCAGAGAGGCTAAAGCAAACCTGTAACATGCAGCTTGTAAACTAGCTGCACACATCATTATCTTCCCAGAGACTTTTACTGAGCGCACTGCCAGAAACAGGGCCCAGACCATGAGTTTCCTATGTCCAAAAAGTGCTTTTCAAGGTGACTTCAGCTGATCGTGGGGTCATACTGGAAAACAAAGAGATGTGGTCAGGTCTAGTGATGCAAGAACCCCACTATCAATTTTTCCTCAGGAGAATCTCACCCACCAAATATTTTTCTAGACGTCTGGTCTGCCCATGAGCTGTAAAGCTGCTGGAAAGCAGACTTTGATCTCATTCGTAACTGATGTATGGGACCAACTCCATCATTCCTGAGTCACCTGACCACTTAGTGGGCTGATGAGGCATTTAATAGATCAGCTGTTGTATTTTGTGAGGCTTGTGATGAGCACATGGGTACCTTGACTTTCATCGCTGCTCTCAACATGGTATAGAAGTGGCAGATAGCCAAAGAAATTGTGTTTATGAAATTAGGTGAACAGTACAAAGGGTCTAACTGCTGGCCTGAGTATACCACCACCAGGTTTGCACATACCTGTTGTGATATGTCACAGAAAATGAGGAAGGATTAGGTAGCAATGTGTTTAAAGGGGATTCAACCTGCTTTGTGCATATCCTACAGAGAAACGGCAGGCTGGAATCCAGCCCACAGTAAGTGAGTTTTAAATATTTGGTACATTTCCTATGGCAGATCATCCTAGCCAACACCTTCTGTAGTAAGAGCAAGGAGCTCATTTAGTCCAGAGAGAGCTACCTGGAGCCCATGAGGCAGGTGATAAAGAGAACAGCCACAGCAAACCTCCATGTTCACATCCCCTGCACGTCAGCCATTCCACACAGCACACAAGCATGTCTGTGGGTGAGGATGGACTAAAGGACGTTTGCCAGAAGACATCTCTATGCACCTCTCAACATAAGTATAATCTGTGCTGCCATCAGGAGGTGGGACTTGCATGTTCCACAGTGACAACATAAATCAGTGGTCATGTCTCTTCTGAAGACAGAGGAAGAGCAGCAGAAGGCCTCTGAGCTCACTATCTGCTTGCTCCTTGTCTTGGGTCTTCCTGGGCTCTCTCTACATGGTCCTAGTTGATCTCAGGAGAAATACACAAGTGGATTCTATCCTCATCTCAGGAACCTGTGTGTAGGTAGCACATGGTTTACTACAGATGTTTTAGCAAATAATAATGATGTGAGAGAGAAAGAGACTGATTGTTAGGAAGGAAACAGAGTTTAATTCTCCAGTCATGTATTACACAACAAATCATGCTGGTTTTCTTAATGAAAAATCACTGACATTTCGACAAATGTATTTTATCTGTCATTTCTCAGTGTATTTAGTTGTTCAGTCTATTCTTCAGACTTTGCAAACCCAACAGTGTGAGTTATTTGGGGTCTTTTTCTCAACTACAGATCTGAAAGCTTGGTTGAAATTGAGGTTTCTGACATTGTCAGGTGTGATGTTATGGTGTTCCCCCATGCACTCCTTTCATCAGTAGGAATGAAGTTCATTTCCACGGTGCTTTTGTAGTTCTCAGACCACTAATGTTGCCTGTGTAGAGAAAAGGTATGAAAAAAGTATTTTGTGCAGAGATGAACACTATGAGTCAAGAGCTTTCCTCTCCTGCAGCTGAAGCACAGCACGTTTCTTGCTGTCCTATGATGACACAAGTACATGCCATTGCTGGAGGTGAGATTGCAGGCCCAGTGCCCCAGCTGCTATGTTATGTTCTGGAATGGAAATGAAGGTGTCTAAGCAAAGCTTAACAGTGTTTTGGGCAGTCTGAAACCAGGCAGTTGGTGCCTGCTCGCTGCAGACACCGTTATTATGGATGTTACAGGGCTATAAGGGAGGCAATTGACTTTCCTGTTCTCTCTGGAGCAAATCTCTTTGAATTCAAAACTCTTAATATAGATGCATTTTTGTTTCTTTTTATACATGGAACTTGCAAGATTCCCTCTAACATCTTTATTCGGCTGTGAGGAAAGTCAATTTTTGTCTATGCCTGTAACTATTACACAAATCTGTGCTCAGAACTGTTAGAGATAATGGATACTCAATGCGGCATTCCCAAAAGTGTTACCAGTGTGAATGGCATAATCTGGACAATGCAGTGTATAACAGCAATTGCTATTTCCAGGACTGCTTTGAATTGCTGCTGTAATAAGTGGCCATTCAGCACATACCCAGCTAGAAGCTGAAGAGCTCACCCACCTGAGCTCCACAAAGCAGGAAGGCTTGGAAGCAATTAGCCAGAAGAGCTTTGGTGAACTAGAATCAGTGCCATGCAGCACCCTTCCAACACTGTGCAGAGGTGTGAGTCATGCAAAGTGGGAAACATGACTGGTACCTTCTCTGGGATTAGCCCTACAACATCTTGTGAATCTAATGGAGTGATTGGGAAAAAGGGCTGGCATTTCCTGCATGGGAATCAAGTATTCCCGTTTCCTGTAAAGCTGATGGAGTTGGGCCAGAGGCAAAATTGCTCGTGAACCAGAGAGCCTCAAGATGTTTATGAACAGAAAAACTACAGCCTCACAGTGAAGAAACTCCTGATATCTAATCTAAGTCTGCCCTCTGTCAGTTAAAAGCCATTCCCCCTTGTCCTGTCATATGACAAATGACCTGGCACAAATCTGTTTTTTTCCACCAGACATTAGACATTAGACAGAAGCTCTTCCCTGTGAGGGTGCTGAGGTGCTGGCACAGGGTGCCCAGAGAAGCTGTGGCTGCCCCATCCCTGGCAGTGTTCAAGGCCAGGTTGGACACAGGGGCTTGGAGCAAGCTGCTCTAGTGGAAGGTGTCACTGCCTATGGCAGGGGTTGGAGCTGGATGAGCTTTAAGGCACTTCCCAACCTACATCCTTCTTTGATTCTACAATTCCACGATTACAGGCAGCCAGCAAGGGACAGCAGGTTGTTGGCAGCATTGCATCCTGATGGTGCAGACACCGAGATGCCTTTGCAACACCAGCTCTGGCAGTACACTGAGTGGTTGTAACGACTCCACATTTTGTAACTCTAACTTAAACCAAATTAGAGTTTAAAAGTTACTGTAATTAACCTGCAAGTAAGTACATTCATACAGTAGTTATGACTTCCAAATCCATGACCTGAGGCAACTTCATAGCTTTGCAAACAGTGAAGAAGTAACTGATACCTCCCCTGTGGTGTGGAAAGCCAACTGCATGCCATTCCTGTTCCCCACGGCTGGCTTTGTGGGTTCCACACTTCTGCTCCTGGCAAGCTGGAAGTCAGGAAGGTGATTTGGGGAAGAGAGGGGTGTGCCGTGAAGCCCCCCTCACAGCCAGGGCATCCGCATTCAAAGACTGTATCTGCACCCAGCCGCCCATGAAGCAAATTCTGCTTCATCCCAGTACAATTAAAACCAATTAAACACAGAATAATTTAAAACCCCTTTTTATTTAGACAAGCACAAGAGCCAGATAGGATTTATGAGCTCACAGTTTTTTTCATTGGAGAGCCAATATGTACTTTAAAGCATCGCAACAGACCGAGAAGACACGGTCTTAAACAGTGTGTTGCAATAATGTGGAGAACTGCATGAGACAGAGTTTTTTAAACCAATTACTCCCCATCCACTCAGGGACAGATAACCCCCAGACAGAATTCCTTTTCATCCCAGTGCTTGGAACGATGAAGATGAAATGTGATTTTCCCTTCTAACAACCACTCCAAACAGCAAAAGAAGAAAAAGCCTGTGTTTCTCTGTTATGGAAAATAGGTCTCAGCATGCTGGAACCTCTGTGTTTCACTTATTTTCTACCCCAAATGCCCTATTTTTAAAGGAACGAATAATGCAATCATGTTCTCTGAGTTACGGTTTCTTTCCTGCCTCATTTGCTGTGTTAGTACAAGAATAACTGTTCTCTGCAAAAAGAGTGATCTTCAGACATCTCGTCCAAAACCTTTCTAGTCACTGGGAATGAGCTGAAAGGAAGAAGTCCCACAGACCCACAGGCAGATTCCTAGCTCATCGCCCAATGACACAGAGCTGCAGTTCCATCTCTTCTTAGACAGAACGGAAAACTCTCCTCCAGCTAGGAGGCCAAGTGTATGGCATGTAGTTTTCAGGTCACAAGTCAGATAGGAGAATAAAACATGGGTCAAACAGGGCATGACTGAGTCGAAGGAGTGAATTCGGAGCAAACTCAGAGCCAGGAGACATCTTCACTGGCGAGCATCCCTGGGATTTGAAACGTCCATGTTCACCATCACCATCAGCAGCAGCAGGGTAACAGCAGTGGTATGGAGTGCTCCCAAGCCCTTGAGAATTGAGACATGTGCTAACAAGCCAAACATCAGCGAGGAGTGCTTTAAAAACCAACTCAGAGAAGAAGCTGGAGGGAATTAGTGCAGGGCATGTGTAAAGAGAGTCACTGTTCCCATCTCCAACACCTATAATTACATCTCAAATGTGCTAATAAAATCCAGCGGCTTTTTCTCTTTGTCAATGTGCCTTAAACATGCTGCTGTGACGCTTAGAAATGAACTTTCTTACACTTGAAATCGCCATGCAACCACCAGAAGGGAGGGCGCTGAGACCCGCACCCGGCCCCGGGCTGTCCCGCCACCGCCTCAGAGGTGCGGGGCGTAGAAGGGGCCGAGGAAAGCGGGGCCGAGGAAAGGCGTGAAGGCCCCGGCGCCCAGCGCGAAGGGGGCTGCCGGCGGCACCAGGACGTTGGCAGCGGCGTAGGAAGGAAAAGTCTGGAAGGGCAAAGGGCCGGGACCCGGTGGGCTGGGGCTGCCGCCGCCCGTCACCGCCACCGCCGTCGGGGATGAGGATGGGGCCGCCCCGTCGGCTCCTGGGTGCTGCTTCTTCCACTTGGTCCGCCGGTTCTGGAACCAGATCTTCACCTGCGTCTCGGTGAGGCTGAGGGACAGCGCCAGGCTGAGGCGCTCGCACACCGACAGGTACCGCGTCGCACGGAACTTGTTCTCCAGGGCCACCAGCTGCTCGTAGGTGAAGGCCGTCCGCGCCCGCCGCGGCTTACCGCACCCCGGCTCGGCCCGACGCCGCCTGCCGCCCCGCGGAGAGCCCGGGTCCTCCGCCGCGCCCGGGCGAGCCCCGGCCCCGCTGCCGTCCCCGGCCGGACTCTCCTCGTCGCGCTCGGTGCCGCTCTCCAACGCGGGGTGCGCATCTAGGCGAGATGGCGGCGCTGGTCAGGGGGGTCTGCGCACCCTCCTCCCGCACCTCCCCGCAGACACCCCTCGGGACCCGGCTCTGTCTCTCCGACACCCCCCAGAGCCATAAAATAAGAGAAATCGTTAAAACAAGATAAAGGTGAGGCGAATCCCCCCCGCGCTCCCCGCTGTGCCACCGCACCCGCGGTGGGGAGGGGGCAAGCGGCGGTATGGATTTCTTACCAATTAAAAAAGAAGTTATTAAAGTCCCCCTTGTGAAGCGAAATAAATCCCCTCCTCCCTCCCGCTCCTCCCCAGCCCCGCGCTAATGGAGTTTCAGATTTGCGAGGGCCGGATCGATAGATGTCATCTATTAAAGGTAAGTTTTAATCGAACAATATTAGGATCAGGCCGGGGGAAGGAGGTTTGAAGTGGGCACCTGCAAGCTGCGGGCAGGAGATAGGCGGGAGTCGGTAATAGGATATCGATCAACGGGAGCTCAGGCATCCTCCGGTGGGAACGGGCTGAGCAATTACCCAGCTCGCCCGCCGGGGCAGCCCACCCCTCCATACCCACCCCGGGCAACGGGGACCGGGGGCGAGAGCCGGGGCGGACATGAGGATGCCTCAGGAGCCGGGGTTGACGGACACGCACCGAGAACTTTTCCCTTCGCATCATCCAGGCTTCAAATCCAGCTCCAGCCCTCCCTTCCCCCGCGCTGCCCGTTCCATCCTCCTGCGGGAGCCCCGCACTGGGATCCTGCACCGGGAGCGCACCCCGAGGGACCGGGAATGGGGATCCCGTCCGCCGGCGCCTTCCCCTGCTCGCCCCGCCAGCACCGGCCGGAGAAACTCGAGCGCGTTCCTACCATGTGCCTCGAGTTTATTCTTCCCGCTGCCGAGAGCAGCAGCGTCTTTTCCTACTTGAACTCTTCCCAAACTTTCCTCCCGTTCGCCCGAGCGGGGGGCGCTGCCCCAGCTCCCCGCGGCCGGTTCGCGTCTCCTGCTGAATTTCTGAGGATCCAGGATGTCTAAGATGGAGAAGGAGATTTTATGATGGATGGGGGCCGCCTTGCCCCCGCGCTCCGGGCATTCCGGCATCCCCCCCACCCTCCGCGCTTCCCGGAGACCTGCTGGCTCCCAGCGCGGAGCCGGCGGAGGCTGCGCGGGGCCGGGCCGCCTCCCGAGCCGCACGGCGGGGCGCTGGGCGCGGAGTGAGCGCCGGGGAGGAGGGGAAGGAGGGGAGGGGAAGGTGGCGGGGGGGGGAACAGAGGAGGGGGCAGCGCAGCCATTGGCACGCTGCCCCCGAGCCCCCTCCCCGCCGGCTCCTTTCTTCCGTCCCTCAATCCCTTCCATCCCTCTGTCACTCCATCACTTCGTCCCTCTGTTACTCCATCCTTCTGTCCCTCCATCCGTCTGTCCTTCTATCCTCCCATTCGTCCATCACTTCATCCCATCATCCTTCCATTACTCCATCTCTCTGTCCCACATCCCTCTGTCCCTCAGTCGTCTCATCCCCTCTGTCCTTCTGTTCCTCCATTCCTCTGTCCCTTATCCCTCCATCCTCCCATCCCTCTGTCCTCCCATCCTCCGTCCCTCCATCCTTCCATCCCTTCATCCCTCATCCCTCCATCCCTCTGTCCCTCCATTCCTCCATACCAGCCTACCTGTGGCCAGGCTTTCCCGTTCCCTGCCGCAGGCTGGGTGGAGGGATGCGCCAAGGGCAGACAGGAGCCCTGGCCCCAGGGCCGGGTCTTTGGCCAGCACAGGTGTGTCACTGCTCTTGGAGCCACTGTCCCCTGGGGTCCTTCTCCACCCGCCCCCACTGACCTGCGTGCAGCCCCCAGCTCAGGAACGGTCCTTAACCTCGTGTCACAAAGGGACCGAGAGAGGGGACAGCTCCTGCATCCCTCCACTGCTTCAAGCAGACTCCAGGATCAAAGTGCTCTGCTCTTTCAGATGGGAAATGTTTAACGGTTATCTGTTAAACTAATAGATAACTAATATCTATTTCAGATAAGATATTAGGAAAAAAATCTTCCCTGTGAGGGTGCTGAGGCTCTGGCACAGGGTGCCCAGAGAAGCTGTGGCTGCCCCATCCCTGGCAGTGCTCAAGGCCAGGTTGGACACAGGGGCCTGGAGCAAGCTGCTCCAGTGGAAGGGGTCCCTGCCTGTGGAAGGGGCTGGAACTGAGTGAGTTTTAATGTCCCTTCCAACACAAACCAATCTGGGATTCCATGAAACTACAGGGAGAGATGAGCAACTCTTCATTTTGGGGCAGCTCAGGATTGGTTTGTTTCAGACCCTGGGCTGAGGGCTGGCCTGAACTGAAACTCAGTGAGTAGGCAGGGAAACTGAGGAACAAGGTGCTAGAGAAGCACTTGCCCCATGGGGCAGCCCCCTGACAGACCCTCCTTGCCTTGAGTAGAGACACTTCATTGTCTGTTCAAACTTGTAACTGGGACAAGGTGGGCAACAGCAGGGCCAGCCTGTGCCCTGTGCCAGTGCCATGGCCACTGGTAGCCAGCTGTGCTTATTATAAACTTGTTGGCAATGTATTTCTGCACATCTGTATCTGCTCAGGAGGAAGCCTTTCCTTCTCCTTAGTGTCTGTGTTGGTGGTGTGAGTCAGGCTGAGGTGGGGATGAAGGAAGAGGCCCTCCTCAGCTGGAGAAGGCAGCCCTTGGTGGGAATCTGCTGCTTCTGCTTTTACCCCTAGGAAGAGGTGCAGAGCACAACCCTCCTATTACAGGTGACCCAGCAGAGCTGGGGTTCCTGTTTGCTGTTGCAAAGGCACAGGCCTTGAGATAACGTTAAAACGAGAGGATGAAGATGTTCAGGGTGATGTAATTACAAGTAATTCATAGAATCCCAGACTGGTTTGTGTTGGAAGGGACCTTAAAGCTCATCCAGCTCCAACCCCTGCCATGGGCAGGGTCCTCTTCCACTGGAGCAGCTTGCTCCAAGCCCCTGTGTCCAACCTGGCCTTGAGCACTGCCAGGGATGGGGCAGCCACAGCTTCTCTGGGCACCCTGTGCCAGCGCCTCAGCACCCTCACAGGGAAGAGCTTCTGCCTAAGAGCTCAGCTCAGTCTCCCCTCGGGCAGGTTCAAGCCATTCCCCTTGGCCTGTCCCTACAGGCCCTTGTCCCAAGCCCCTCTCCAGCTTTCCTGCAGCCCCTTTAGGCACTGGAGCTGCTCTCAGGTCTCCCCTTCAGGAGCCTTCTCTTCTCCAGGCTGCTCCAGCCCAGCTCTCTCAGCCTGGCTCCAGAGCAGAGCTGCTCCAGCCCTGCGATCAGACTACAGACATTTCTGGTTGAGTTGCTCTGTCTGCAGGAGCTGACAAGGTAGATTGCAGCACTGAATTCATCTGAGACATCCAAACATCACCGGTTTAACAGGTGCACACACACCAACACACAAACGTGCTTGTGCAGAGGCACGCATGGAACCCCCACCCTCACGGAGCAGTTTTAGCAGTCTGTTTGAAGTTGATCTGATTCTCAGCTCAGGCATTAAAATTCCACCCAAGTGCTGCCTTTAAATTGCTTTGATGCTAGGTGGGTTTCAGCCCTGACCTGTCCTGATGGCAAGTGATGGCTGTAACAAGCTGTGGATCAATATTCATAGCGGGTGTCCTGGGCTGATAACACCATCCAAGACAATGTTCGCTATCGGTGGAGACAGCTGAGATATTGCACCATTAGGAATGTTGTTTTAAATAACCTGATCCATTTCTGGGTCTATTTAATGAATTTCACAGTTTAGATACTATCTTTAAGGGAAAGCCAGAGGCTATTCCAGAAGCAGTGATGCAAGTCATTTGTGCCAAGGCTCCTTGGATTTCCTTAAAGTGCACTATAATTCCACTGCAGATCCTTATATATTCTGGGAATCATGGCATGCTATTGATAATGTTAGCAATAAGAAAGCATTTGGACTTTATCGAGGGGGAAAACACTATTATCTGTAAAGCTGCATCACATTTGGTAACATCTTATCTGAGATTGTGAAAGTCTATATGGTGAGACAGTGGTTTTTTCTCTCTTGTCTGTCTGTATGAAGTACTGGGCATGGATGAGAAGATGCCATCGAGGAAGAGCACGGCCTTGTCAGCATCCTCAGCCTTCTGCTGTCATATGGTAGGTGCCTTGCTCCCCAAATCCTACCCTGCTGCAGCCCATCCGTCCCAAACTCGCTCATGTGAAGGTGTTCCTGAGGGTCAGGAGCCCCTCTAGGACTGACAAAAGCAGGGTGGATTTTGAGGGAGACATCCCCGGGGCTTTCCACAGCCTCTGCTCCAGGTGATGTCTGTCCTCAGGGACACGACATCTTCCCTGTGAGCGTGCTGAGGCGCTGGCACAGGGTGCCCAGAGAAGCTGTGGCTGCCCCATCCCTGGCAGTGCTCAAGGCCAGGTTGGACACAGGGGCTTGGAGCAAGCGGCTCCAGTGGAAGGGGTCCCTGCCTGTGGTAGGGGTTGGAGCTGGATGAGCTTTAAAATCCCTTCCACCACAAACCAGTTTGGGGTTCTGTGTGTCTGAGGGAGTTTATCACAAAGCAGGAAGCAAACCCCACACTCACTGCGCCCGCCTGAGGTGCTTTAACAAAATGAACGCGTTAATCGATAATGGCAGGCGGTAGCGCAAGGTGCGCGTAGTTACCCGCGGTCTACACACGGCCCTCCTGGGACTACATTTCCCAGCAGCGCCCGCGGCTCCCTTCCTCGGCTCGGCTCGGCTCGGCTCGGCTCGGCTCGGCTCGGCTCGGCACCTCCATTCGGCTCTGTTCGGCCGATTCGGGTCGGCTCCTCTCGGCGTGCGGGCCATGGCGGGCTGGTCGCGGGCGGTGCGGGGCGTGCTGCTGGACATCAGCGGGGTGCTCTACGACAGCGGCGGGGACGGCGGCGGAACGCCCATCGCCGGCTCGGCCGAGGCCGTGCGCAGGTGGGTGACAGGCGGGGCCCGGCCTGGCACTGACCCCCTCACCGGAGGAGGCCGAGGCGGGGCCGGCAGCGTGAGGGGCCGCCCGGGGCAGGTTGCGTGAAGGGGGGAACACCCCAGACATGGCCCAGAACATCCACTGCGGGCCTGGCCCTGGGCTATGGAGCTGCACTCAGAGACAACAGGATCAGGGTTACCCCCCCAACTGCTCAGCCCCGTTTGCTGTGTGAAGTTGAGTGGGACAGCCCAGCAAACGGGCTGCTTTTAGGCATATTTAAGGTGTAGCGGGATCTGCTTTCGCTGGGCTGATGGGGAAAGGAAGCCTGAGCAGCACCGACAGCTCATACCCTGCTTGGGTTCTGTTTAGTCATCGTCACACGTGTAGCGGGAGCTGGTGGGGCACAGGAGGTCTGGTGATCCCCTGGTGATCAGTTTTAAGGTACTGCCCACGTGGGCATGGTGCTGCTATCAGTTAATTGACTTTGATCCAGGGCAGACTGGACACAGGGGCTTGGAGCAAGCTGCTCTAGTGGAAGGGGTCCCTGCCTGTTGCAGGGGTTGGAGCTGGATGAGCTTTAAGGTCCCTTCCAGCACAAACCAGGCTGGATTCTATGATTGTATGAAGTTAGGTGGGACTTCCTGCAGTGAATTGACACCCCAGCAGACATGGAGTGCTTCCGTGCTGCTGTTAATGATCGCTCAGCTTCTGAGTGACTGGGAAGCGGAGTATTGTCATGGCAAGTTACTCACCAGTGCCCACAGGTAGTGAACCCTTTCACTTTTAGCTGGGTAATGCAGTCCAGTTAACACAAGAGAAATAGCCATTGCTAAACAGCAGTGGTTTCACTTAGTGAAGTTAACTGACTGTAATTAACTAGGTTGACTTGCTGGTGTCAGCACTGTTTGACCAGAGGAGCAGGATGGGGCTAGAGGAGAGCAATGGCCACAGGGCTATTGTTGTTTAAAGAGAGGTATTGATTCATGGGTCTGCTCTGCTGGGGGACAGAGGTCACAGGTTTCTGGAAGAGCCTTTGGCTCTCTGTGATGTTTCAGTAACCCGCTGCAGAGCATCCAGATCTGTCTCTTGTGGGGAGTTCTGCTGTGCATACCCCATTTGAAAGGTATGTGTCTATATGCTGAACTCCTGTGAATTGCTGATTGCCTTCTTGATGAGCATCTCTGTGGCTTCTGCCTTCTGGGGCCACCCACCATGGACACACCTGTGCAAGTGCTTTATCAAGCAGGAAATGTGCAGCAAGAAATACTGAAATCACTAAAATTAATCATATGAGTTTAGCTGAATATGTGCCTTAACATTGGTGGAGACACCATGGAAGAGGCAGAATTGGGGAAGATTGACTGTATAGATGAGGTACATTAGTGTAGGATGTGTTTGATGAGATGCTCCCCATGACCCGGCTTCAGTGTGTGCTTGAGCCCAGAACCCCCCCATGTGCAGGGCTGCACCCCCAGAGCGTGAGCAGCAGCTCGGGGGGGGGATCCTGCCCCTCTGCTGTGTTCTGGGGAGAGCCCCCTGCAGCCCTGATCCAGCTCTGGGGCAACAGCACAAGAGGGAGGTGAATCCTGTCTTCTATGGGACAGTGTTGAACGCTTTGCACAAGTGCAGGTGGATGTTGCTTTTCCACTTGTCAGCCTCTTTGCTGACTGCAAGGGGTCAGGCACAGCCCGGGTTAAACTTCTCTGGCTTTCCTGCTTGTCCCACTCAAATCTTCCTTGTAATGTTGCTTCTGATGAGGCTGATGCACGTTGGTGAAAAAGAGTCTTCTGCTGTCCATCTTGCAGAGGAGCACATCTTCCCACCTTCCTTCCAGGCACTTTCTGCTGGGACATGGCATATGCTGGGACCTCTTGGCATGACTAACCCAAACATAAATAACAACTCCATAATAACTGCTGGAGAGAAGATAATTCCTTTCACAACCATGACATACTCTACAATATCTGAACCACTTTTGCCATGTTATTTTTTCTATGAGGTTTTTAAACTTTATTTTATGCTGTGTTGCAGGCTGGTATTAAATAACTTTTGTCTCTGTGTTTGCTGATAACCTCCTGTGTGGAGGCAACATTAGCTGCAACTTGTCTTACTCCAATATTAGAATTACAGTGATGAAACAACAGCAAAACTCTGGCCTTGGGCTAAATGTAAGATATTCTGGGCTTTTTCTTGAAATCCTGGGAATTTGGCATTCATATAAGTGGCTCAGTATAATCAGTTTCCTTGGGTATACTTAAGCAGCTGTATTTATCTATCTCTTAGTTTGGTTATGGTTCCAGCTCCCACCATTTAAGATTGTTATTGACTCATTATCCTGTTGCCTCTTGGTCATTAATTGTTGTGTCTGTGTTACAGCACAGCTCAGTGGTTTCAGGCAGATGGATTCAAGCTAAAAGCATCTCTTCTTTTAATGAATTCGTGTCAATTACTGAGTCATAATTGCAAATAGCTGGGAACTTTAGAACTCGTTCAGATTGATGTGATCTTTTGTTAAGATGTGTCTGAAATCCTTCAGTGCACATGTATAGGAGTCTTAAATACTGTTTTGATCATCTATATTGCAGTTATGGACTCTCATAATATGACAGCTGACCTGTTCTCTTCAACTCGTTCTTGCTGTATCATCTCCCACACCATTACAGCAGTTAACTCAGTGTAAGAACATGTAGTACACAGCAGTGAAGGTGATAAGTAACCACTTTGATTAGCACTGAAGCCATTTCCACTTGTTAAAACCATACTTGCAGTATTTTCCTTGTTTTCAGCCAGATTCTGCAGTTATTGGAGTTTGTATTTGAGAGCGTAGCAGTGTGATTTCTACCAGCAGGATTTGGCCAGTTGTATGTTTATGATGCCTGCAGGGGGGGGGTTCTCTCTTGTTTGTTTGGTTTTAGCAGCAGTACAGTCAGGTGGAACAGAAAAGTGACCAAAGGAGCTGATGGACACTGAAACATCCTGACCAAGATGAGATCAGTAACACACTCCCCAGTGCTGTAGAGACCCTCCTGAGGAAAGCATCAGGAGGCACTATCAACGTTGGTACAACTTGTGATGAAACACAGTGTTACAACTGGGAAAGCTTTATTTATTGCTCACATACCTGCATCACTCATCAATCTAAGTGTGAAATGTCTTAGGGTTCACTCTGCACTGATGGGGAATTGGTAAATCAGAGACCAAAAGGATGAACCACAGAGTATTTGTTGTACAGAGCAGACCATCTGTGCTCAAGTAATGATAAAGTGAATCCAGATCCTTTGTAACTCATCCAGACTATGGCAAACAGGCACCCATGTGCCTAAGGGCACTAGCACCCCTGGTTTGACCCAGAAGCCATGGTGCCAGCAATGTTATTAAATCCACCAGGGACTGCTAATATTAACTTTAGGTGGGGATATTGGAGTGCTGGATGACTGGAAAATCCAAGAGCAGCTTGGTAAAGTAATTTGGCTCTTTAAAACTTTTAAACCCATAATGTTTCTTGCTTGTTTAATTTACTGTGCATATTTTAATGAAGTCAAATAAAACACAGAGTTAAATAAAACCCATGTCTGAGAGTGTGCAGTTAACTGGCAGACACCGTGGAGCAGATTGGAAAGCCCATGCACAAGATCAGAAAGCCCATCGGTGACTTAAAGGCTTCTTCTGGAGTCAGCCTGAGCAGTGCCTCTGCATGTGCTGTTATTGTCTTAACTGATTTACACAGCATTGACACGAGGTGAGCTATTCACGTTTTAGCTTACAAATAGCAGGGAGCTGGTCTCTTACAAGACAGAAGGTGGTTAAACACCCATAAAAGATGTCAAGGCTCTGCTCTGTTATTTGCATTTACAACTGTGTGCTGATAGTGTTCCCATTAGCATATCCATATGAAAAGCACACAGGAGTTGGACATTTACAACATCCTGTTGTTTGGCCAGTATAGTGCATCTGTTAGCACAACTTACTACAGGATCCTTTAAAAGAGCAACGGAAATCTGGGGAGCAGGGAGGCTGGGGAGCAGCTGGACAGTCCTGTTGAAGTAGAATACCTGGAGAGTCTAACAAGGGGTGGGTTGGGAGGAGGACAAGCGGAACTGAAACTGTAAAGCAATTCAGCATGCAGGGGTTTGCCTGGGACAGTTGGGAGGTCACAAAGAGCCCTCTGAAAGTGTGTGTGTGACAAGGAACAGGGAATCTTTGTTGTCACAGAAGATAAATGAAGCGTGGCTTAGCGCAGTGTGTGCAGATGTTCAGAGTTTCAAGGCTCGCCGTGCCTTCAGGACATGCAATAGCACAAGAGTTGTTCCTCCTGGAAAGAAGCTTTGAAATAAAACCATACAAACCCTTGTGCAAATATCCATTTGTTTGTCTTTGCACTTAACTCCTTGCCCTTTCTAGCCATGGATCCCAAAGAAGGGTAGTGTCCCTTGTCCTTTGTGAAGCAGCAGACACAAAAAGGTGAAGCACTCTGTCATGCAGAGCCAGAAGATCCCGGACTTGATCCTCAGTGGGTGCAGTTATCACAGCTTCATTCCAGTCTGTAGTATTAACTGTGGCCTCAGTTTTCAGTGGCCCTTCCTAACCCATGTTTGCGTTCCTAATCATCAGTGTTCATTAGTTCCTTAAAAAGATCTCTGTCCCTGAAGTCATGGGGACTCCAAGTGCTGCCTACACAAATTGCATGAGTAAGTGCTTATCCCTTTGAAATTTAATCATCATTAGGGTCTTGAGCTATACAATTATGTGCTGTACAAATATTGACCAGCAAAGGATAATAGGAAATATTACAGTGATACCTACTGCCTACCTACCTAAGAGCTTGTTTGTCCACTACCTTGTGTAAACACTGATTAATCCCTGAAACGGGTGAGCAGCACTCTGCCTCATTCTGTGCTTTAGAACTTGAGGCTTGTCTCCATTTACCACTGCAGTAGTAATTTTTTACCCCTCATCTTTCCTGTTTGCTGAGCTCAGCCTGAGATCTTAGAATTGAGCCTGATTC